AAATGAGCAGTGAAACCTTGATGTTTGCCACTCACCGCTTTGCCGCTCTGTTTGTGGCACGGTCTTAACGGGGCGCGTTAGACGCGAGAAGCATTACAGAATAGAAAGACGGTTCCGTCGAGGATCTATTCGATGCGGACAGCATCGCAAGCACGCTCGGTCTTGGTCGTTCGACGTTCCCGCGAATGAGATCCGATTCATTCCTCGTCCCCCTCCTCGACGGCTTTCCAGGGGTCCACGGCTACCCGCAGCTTAGTGAATCTTGAGCGAACTGCGGACTCTATGCAACGAATATACTTGAAAGTCGGTGCAACGAGAACTCTGATCCAACGGGGTAACGAGATCTTCCTTTCGTCTGGACGCGGGAACGTTCCAGTTCTCCGTTAACGAACATCCAAGGATTTGTATCCTCGTGGATATCCACCATCAAACGATGAATGACACGGAGGAAGATGGGTTACCCGCAAGGGAAACGGAAACCGGAAACGGGAAACGCTTGGCGGAACGGTGCAGAGCGGAGCGTAGAGCGCAGCAGGACAGAAACGAGTGAAACACGGTTCGGGTAGTCGGAAAGGGTGAAAGAGGAAGAATACGAAGAAGAAGAAGTAGTAGTAGTAGTAGAAGAAGAAGAAGAAGAAGAAAGGGGTTTCGCGATTTCGGAATCGCGGCAGCAGAAGTCGCGCCGGAAGGAAGCGTCGCGTCGTGCAAGGGGATGGATCATCCGTCTCGTTCCGTGGTCGAGCGACGATTGGTTCCGGCGGCGGTGGCGGACTCTAAACGTGTAAAAATACGTAGAAAAGATAAACGTTAGCGCCTCGGGACGCTGTCGCCGTTCAAGGTAGCTTTACATCGATTATCATACACCGTCGTACGCGAGGTCGACCGGCGGCCTATGGTGTGACGGGAGGTAAGATGGCGGCGTGGATGTGCCGGGCGTGGAGCCACCGCCGACGCTCGTGTAGCCCCCGGGATAGTTCGCGCTTGGCGCGTGAATACCGGCCGGCGGCGCCGGGTACGCGTCGAAGGAACTAGAGTACGAGCCATTGTACGGATAAGGATTAGCCATGTGGCCGAGAGACGGGTGCATTCCTCCCATGCCGCTCATACCGCTCATCCCGTAAGTGCGTTGCATCAGGCTGGGCTCGAGGCCGCCGAAAAGGTAGCCGTTCGTCGAGCCCATCGGTACGGGGTAATGCGGCCCGGGTATGATGTTGGGGTACGAGTTCCCCGGGTGTCCGTGATTCATGCTCGGCGTGTAGTTGCTCGACGCTAGATTCTCCACCGTGTAGGACTTGCTGTGCTGTTGCTGCTGCTGCTGCTGCTGCTGCTGCTGTTGGTGCTGTTGTTGTTGTTGTTGCTGCTGCTGCTGTTGCTGCTGTTGTTGTTGTTGCTGTTGCGAATCTTGATGTTGACGACCGTTCATACCATAAAGGGAACCGTAGCCGTCGTTCGGCGAGTTGTGCAACGAGCTCGGGTAAATCGAGCCGCCGGGTGCCAAGGGTGGGCTGTAGTTGGACATGCCCGCGTTAGGCATGCCCGGGAACCCGGACAGGTAGGACTGATGGTGGGCGTCCATCTTGTCCGCGAGCGATCCGTCGTCGTTCAAGCCTGGATGGCCGTGCTGGAGCCGTTGGCTACCACCGTCGGCTATACTCGGTATCTGGTCGACTAGAGATTCCAGGTCGCTGAGACTCTTGGATGCGACGTCCTGGCCGGTATTCCTCTTGATGCCGTACTGTTCGTGTGGGTGGTGGTGCGGCGACATCGACGAGTGGGTAGGCGTATGGGGATGTGTGTGCGGCGGAGTTGGGTGGGAATGGTGCGAGTGCTCGTCGGTGGTTTGACTCAACGGCGTCGGGGTGGTCTGATGGGGATGGGGCTGATGGGACTCTGAGGCTTGCTCGTGGTAGCCCATGTAGCTGGTGTAGCTCGGGTGGGACGGTGTGCCGGGACTGCCGTGGTGGCCCGGGTTCTCGCCGTTGCCGGCCGGGTTGTACTGGCGATGATCGTTGTTCATGTTCTGTTGGGAGATGCTTGTGGGCGGCTCGAAGTCCGGGTGCTCGACGCTCGGCGAGGTCAACGGCGACGGCTCCAAGTTGTTCTCCGAAGAGATCGCGGTGTTGATCTCCGAGGAGAGGTCGGAATGGGTGAACGAGAGCGACATCGACTTCGGGCTTTGGCTGTAGTGCTGCAGATGAACAGGGCTCTGCTTCGCGTTCATGTTGTACGGACTGTCGTTCATCCCCTGCCCGTAGAAGCCGGAATCGTTCATCGGCTGGGGATACGGAGCCATGTGCGCGAATGTTTTCGGCGGCGAGAAACAGTTCGGCACCACGCCGTATCCGTCGCTGAGGTGTCCGCCCATGCCCTGGTGTTGCTGTTGTTGCTGCTGCTGTTGCTCCCTCTCTCGCATTTCCCTTTCTTGCTGCTTCTGCTGCTGGTGAATCTTCTTCGGACGCCCGCGACGCTTCTTGATTACCTCCCCGTTCGCGTCCAGCTTTTCAGGATCCGGAGGCGGCTGATCCTCCGGGTTTTTGATCTTCTTCGGCCTGCCTCTCTTCTTCTTGCCCGGTATCTGCGAATTCGGCTCCTGTTTGATGAGCGCGCCGTTCACATCGGAAATTCGCACGTCACCCTCGCTCGTCAGATCGTCGCAGAAACCGGGCTTCTTGTCCTCGATGGCCTCCTGGTCCTTCTTCTTCAGCTTCGAGTCAGCGAACACGATGTCAGACTCATCCAGATGGGAGATCGTGCCGTTCAAGTAGTCGCGGAACTTCTTCAGCGCCGCGTAATACGGCACTTTGTCCGCCGCTCGTGGCAGTTGCGCGCATCTCGCGCTGCTCGATGGCATCACCCACATGTACTGCAATCGAATTTTACCAAATTAGAGGATGGATCTTGTTGACAACGGTGGGATAATATATTCGTGGTGTTCTTTGTTTTTAGTAGCTTACCGTGTTGGTTCCGTCGACCATGTTCGGTTGTCTACCGAATCCAAACTCCTTTTTTCCTGAGAATACCTCGTATATCAGCTTTCCGTTGAATACCGCGATCTTCGGCTTGTATTTTCGTAGTTTTTCTAGCAAAATGTGGCTACCTGCAAATAGAAAATCGATATCGTGATAATTGGATTACGGTTAACTTTAAATCTCAATAGATTTTTTTAAATTCTTCGCGTATTCGAGACTATAGTATGTCGATTCCGAATGTATTTGACTTTGTAACATCCGGTACGGTTTCATCGGTAAAAGAATGACATCTTTCATTCTTTTCATTGGAATTTTAAAGGAATTTTGCTTTATCCTCGCATAAATGCATTTAGTTTTCGTAACTATCTGCAACAAGTATCCGTTCCAAATAATAAATATCGATTAAAATTAAAATATTCAAGCCGGTAGATTTCCCTCGTTAGTCATTCAAATATATTTCCATCATTTAATCTGTTATCCGAGTAAACCTTCAACTGTAAACATTATTATTATTATAGATGAAATTAGATTAACGTACCTCCTAGCAAATAATTCATTTTATTATTGATATCAATATAGTTATACATTCCTAACTGTTTCTGATGATCTTTTTAAATACTTATCATTTACTTTTATTACTTTCTTACTGAGCGTATTTACATAATCATTCTCACTTCCTGTTTTCGAAGCTAGCTTCACCAACGTCATCCTTTCTCTACGTTATTTTAATACGACTACTTTAATACTTTTCTCTTATGTTTCACTTTCACTTATCCAATTTTCCCTAAATTTCTGTTTACGGAAATTCAAGTGCCATCGTTAACACTTGAACTCCCTAATGAGTCAGAATAACCGATTTCTCTTTTTATAATTAGTTAAAAGGCATAGATGCCTCTTTGCTTTTAAATCAAGTAAAACAAACAAAGGAAGTAAACAAACAGATATAACTGAATACGAATATCATAGAAAATTTTTCAACAGAAATTTCGAATTCTACAACAGTCATCTTATATCACTCGTAAAAATATATAATTTTGAAAAATCCGTAAATATTGCCAAGCTTTGAATAAAATTTCCAGTGAAACAGCCGACGCGTGAACTGTTAACCGAGTTCTTCCCCGATTAACAGGCTAAACGCGTCCCGTTTTGTTATCTCCGTGGTCGTGGGTCCGCGCATCGTTAAGTGGTAATGCGTGGATCCCGATTCGCGCGCGCGACAGTGAATTTCAGGCGTCGAGGTTGGCAACAGTGGCATGCCGCGTGCCGCCAGTCTTCTCGCGGTGACGATCGTACGACGAACCGGCCGAACGCTCGAAGCCGATCGGGCGATTCTCGTTCCGATTCTCTTGATCGTTCCTGCAAATATTCTCTACTTGCCGGAAGTGCAATAATTGGTTCACCTGATCGGCAGGTGGCAAGGTGGGCCCCGGTGTTTGCCGACAAACGATAGATACTGTGAATCAAGGCCACTATTCGTCGTGCAACTCGTCGACGCTGGCGAACACTAACCACGGTAAGTAAACTGACTTTTATCGTCAAACAACGTCTGTCGCATACATTATCAACCGTGAATCGCGTCCCGAATTACGATTAAATGAATCGGCAAGTCCGTCGCCGTTGCCGCGACCGATCGCTGCATCCAAGTCACCGGAAGTCGTGGATGTCGGGTGAGCAGTTCTCAAAATCATTAGAAGAGTCTACACAACAAATGTCCCAGTACCGTTGCTCGATGAATTGTTAGTCGCCGGGCGAAATATTCCAAGGTTAAAATTCTGTGCGGGCTGATCATTGGATTCATGGTTATACTCTTCCTACTGTAATCTTTTGTCTACATTTATGGGAGCCCTTTGGGAGATCTTTCTTAGATAATCGAGTACCACGGGCTGGTAGATAATGTTGCTGTCAATCCTAACAATTGTGTTACTTGAATGGGACATTGTTGCAATCCACCGTTGAGAACTTCCGAAACAAGTTGTACTCTTCGAAATTTTCTCAACCGGAATCCCACGCGACTGTTCCATTCGGCGGTTCGTTTATTGACAAAAATGTCCCGAGAAAAAATCGTGCAAGTGTTTACCAAACACCCGACTGTTGTGTAGAAAAAAAGAAACGATCGAACGGAAAGGAAGATGGTTCGATGTCCGTGGTTAAGCAGATAACTTCGTAACGCCGTATCGTTTCTGTCGCGGGGGAATAAATCAATCGGCCTTGATCACTTTAATGAGAGCCGGGACCGTCTTCTGTTCAACGAAAACGGACGCTGTGTGCCAGCAGAACCGTGCGGGCCGGACCGAAGGATTATTTCTTATTAACACGGCTAGAACTACCGACGCCTAACCTTAAAAGAACTGCTGATGGAGGGGGGAGTTTCTCGAGTCGAGATACGAATTGTGAAAAACGATCCGGAACACTGGGAATATATTGTGTATTGATATATCGTGTATTATCTTTAACATTATTATAATTATTTCTAACTGCGACACGACGCAAACACTACTTTTCCAAAAATAATATATCTTTGCTTAGTCCCGAGGCGTCTGCCATATTTATAGAAATCACGAGGCTCGAAGGAATACAAAGTACCAAACGGATTCGGCCATTCGTCCATTTGCATTTTATCTCGAGGATGATTTGAAATTTTTTAAATTACATCGACACGGGAGGCAACGCGCTGATCACGTTTATATCAACGGGAGACGATTTTTTGTTTACAACTCGCGAATCCACGAAACCGGTATTTATCTCGTCGTCGTGAAAACAGAATTATCGAGGGGAACCGAAATAACGGGTGAGTGAAGGAGAGAAAAAAACGACCGAACAAATTTACGTGAAATACACTGGCTCGATAAGCGGGAGGCGAATAAATAAACATCGATAGGCGATCGGGGCTCGCACCTCCGGTCCGTTCGTTCCGCGATATCGGTGGGACGCGTTCACGCTGGCTTTGGGCCGCTCGCTTACGGGACGCAATTTTTCTGGATGATTCCATTGCGAACGGAACCATGATCGTCTGCGTTGGAAACGGACCGGATTCTTGCCCTTCTCCATATGTGCACGGTATGTTGAAAAATTCTTGCGAACGTTTGGATAGATGTCATGCGCCTGAAGCCTCGGGACTCCGAGCATCTGTTTCGTTCGATTACGTTTCTACCCTTTCTTTCGATAAACACCTCAACCCACAATTTATTTTTCAACTATGATAGATACAATTATTTTGCTGTTGAGAATTTATTGAAAAATGAATTGAAAATTCTGGGCACATTCGGTTGTGTCCAAGTTTGCTCTAAGGTATAATCAATTACAGAAGAATAATATTTAATTTGATAATTCACAAGAATAGAGTAATTAAAATGAGAATGAATCAAAATGTGTTGAAGGATACAAGTCGTAATTTAATTTAGTTCGTGTTGTAGAAATTTTGTGATCATTGGTGACTGATCGCAAAATTAGATAATTATGCTTGTCCTGGGAAAATGTACTATGAATTGAAATGTAATAAGTAAGCGGCAACCTATGGAAACTAGTTGTCATGATTATTAAATTTGATCGTTTTAGTTCGAATGTCGAAGGAATTTTTAGTTAGTCAGCCTCGCTAGAATCTTCAGTTAGCATCGTGAAGAATAGCGCAAAATTGAATATCTTTCTCGGGTGCAGTTGAATCAAGCGCAGTACGTGAATTATCGGTAACTATTTCGGAATGTCGACATTACGAAAATCAATGCTAAACGATTCGCGTGTTAATGTGATCTCCGTTCAACGTGGTACTGATTTTTTTCGACGTTTTTCGAAGCAGGAACATTTAATTCGGATCCATAATGAAGAACTATTGGAATGCTTGCATCAATCCCGATTCAAAAGTAGAAAAGAAAAAAAGGTGATACATTCGAAAGTAATCGGTTGACACGTTAACTGACATTTCTAACTCAAAATATCTTTGCAATAATATTAAATGTTTGGGATACTAAATTGTTTTCGAGAACCAAAGATTTTCAAAATAACACCGAATTCAGTAATTCGGTACTAATACACTAAGCAAATATTCTTCGTCTATTCATTAATTTTTAAGATTGCCTTAATAAAAAATCCGACTTCCCGTAGACACATAAATCCAGTTATTGGGTTTGCTTATTGCAAATACTCCTCCCGCGACGTAATTTTTGTAGTAGTAGTAGTAGTAGTAGTAGTAGTAGTAGTAGTAATAATAATAATACTACTACTACTACTAATAATAATAATAATAAATATAATAATAACAATCACAAATAGTCTGTATAACTGAGTGTACTGACCTTCTTTGATTTCTTTTCTGGTGAGATCGGCGCTGCCTTTAGTGGCTCGAGCTACCATATTTGTGAAACCGATACCGAAGCGCAACAGCTTGTAATCGTCATCCGCCGTGAGTGGTTCGGGTGTCAGTCCGCTCAGGTGTAAACACTTCCCTGGAAGAAAGAGAGAAAAGGTAATAAAGGAAAGCCGGTTTAATTGGAACGCCGAGAGTTGCCGGAAAGAACCGGGCCGTCGTGTACGCGCGCGCGCGAGCGCGAGCGTCCGTGTCTCCCGGTTTTTCCAAGGTTCGCGGGAAGCGCGCCAAGAATCTTTGCCGTTTAAGTTTCGACCGATATCCACGGCAGCGGAATTTCAATGGGTCTGGGTCAAACATCGCCGACAAACTGTCTGGAACTTCTGACTTCGTTCCGTAAACTCGCGACGATAAATCGGCCGCGTCATCGGCCAAACAAAATGGAAAGTGCCCCGTCCCCGGCGTGTACGATCTCCCAATTAGCCTGTTAAACCGGCACCGGGGACGTATTAACTCGTCTCGCTTGAACTCGTTCGTCTTCTCCGGCTAGTTTTTTCTTGTAGTTCCTTCATTCATTTACTAAGCATTGCTCAAATCTAAATCCCATTGTAAATTACGCGTAGAGATTGAAAAATCACTTAAACATGGCCAACGAATCGTATACAAGATATAAAAGATAGTCAAAACTGCCATTCAGTTTTTGATTGTTGGTAAATTATTCTACCGTAGGTTATATGGGTACAATGTATAACAAGAAGTACAATGTAAAATGGGATAAAGAAGAATCTTGAAGATTCTAACAAGCGGTAGGAACAAAATCCTAAAGTAATTATCAAGACATGACGTTACAGAGGGTACGCTACAACAATATCTAAGCGATAGATAAAAAAACAGGAAGAAGAAGGAAATCTGTTAATGAATCGAAAGAAGCAAAAATAACACGTTCATTTCGTTCGAAAACTTATCCAGTTCGCTCAATTAATTATCCCAGTGGAGTGGGTCTCGTTTTCCTATGATCGAACGAGAGAGAAAGGTTTTCGAGAGGTGGAGACGACGAGAAGAGTCGCTTCAAACGCGACTCTCGGCGTCGGATGAATATGTAAAGCCGCCGAAACTGCGATAATTCGCGGATTATTCGCGTCGCGAGGAGCCGAGGCCCGCGTTAAAAGGAGGATAGGGAACGGCGGGCGGTCCTCCCCTGCTGTTAATTACCATGCATTTTTGCCGCGGGCGCGCGCATTGTGTCGTCGACGGCAATTTAGAGAAACTACTTGTCAGCGGTCGCGACGGCGCAGCAGGTGTTACGAAACGCGGCCCGTTCAAACGGCTTAAATAGGTCTGGGTCAAGCCTGGTCGATTCTTTTTATTCCGCGGCCGCGCAAGCCCCCTTCCCCGGACCCCGCGACCCTTGGAAGTTCACTCATAAATCGTTCTCCTCCACGCCTCGCTGAAAATTATTGTCCAACACGGAGAATTTCTCATCCCCTCGCGTGCCTGACTTTCTTCTCGCGGCTCGACGATCCGCGGTTTCCCCTGCTTTCCCGAACAGACATCCGGAAAGTATCTCGCGGACGCTTTGCGCGTGCACATTTCGGAACGATTGAACGCGATATATTTCAACACAACGAGTTCGGAGAGATACATGAAAGTTTGTCTTCGAATTGTTCAATACCAAATTCTTTCAACAGGAATTGTATTCCTGAACACGCAACGTCGTTCTACTTGTTTTACAATCGAATGTGTGGTTAAATGTTTGCGAGCAGTTTGAAAACTATTCTTCTTGTCTTTATCCTGTATACGTCGTAATCTTTCGCTGGTTCATCACATTCATAAGTTTGCAAGAGTACATATACCCACTCTTCGAACTAACAAGAGCTCGCACTGAAATGTTCTACAAACTATTACCAACCCAAATTGTCATCAATAAAAAAAACCCACTGGAGTTGCCCAATTTAAACAAAAACAAAAAAAAATCGTGCAAAATAGATCGCAGGAACGTACTCGAACGCCAAAGGAACAGAGAAAGAAAAATAAAGTGCACTGTTCCGAACGATGGTGGTGTGTAGGGGTGCAAAGGAGGTAAACTGTTGGAATCGAGACAGAAAAACTGAGAAAGGGAGCGAAGGAGACAGAAAGAGAGAGAGAGAGAGGTCTGGCTTGATGGCGCGAAATTACAGACGTCGCAGAAGCATATACCGCGAGCGTTTACCCCGGCGGCGGGGCGGATAGTGATTTATGATGCGGCCTCGGAAATTCTCTCCCTCTTATCCTCCCGGTCACGCCCGCCTCTTGCGCCACCGACCTACAGCCGCACCACACGACCTTGGAGAACTTCGGAACAAAGTTAAACGATCCCTGCCGTCTGGCCGTGGTGGTCGTTGCACGCTCTCCTCCGAGCGGAACGTTGCCTCGTCGGCCTGTTCGGCTCCGCTCGTCGTTAAAGTCGACGTTATCGGAAAGGGGAGGGCGGCGGTGTGAGGGGACGGGCGAAACCGGAGCGGCGAACGGAGATAACCGAGTGAGAGACGGAGAGAGGGTGAGCCTGCTCCACTCCCCGCCTTGGAAAAACTCGTGTACCCTCCGTCGGGATGACCCGACGCCCTGCGCGGAGGGAACACGGCGGACTTGGCCCCCCTCCGAACATATCCAGACCAACGACCGATCGAGCAAACTTTATCGGAGGGAAACGCGACCCTTCCCTGTCGTCCACGGCGCTAACCTAACCCAACTCGACTTCCGTCGACCTTTCCGCGTTCACCGCGCCACACTCTCGCCGCGACGGGTCATCCCCCTCGCGACACGCGACCGCGGCCCTGCTTCGTCGCGTTGCAACGATGAAAGATCGAGATCCATCGGAACTGTCGCGCAAGATTTTCGGGTATCGGTCTTCATTCGGGAGACTTGCTGTTGGTTTTCCGGCGGTGTTTTCCGGAAGGAACTGGAAACTTAGTTTCGATTCGATGGTTTACAGACTGCCGAAATTTGAATCGCTTGGACTAGGATAAGGTAATTGTGATTTTCATGTGTTTTGAGGCTTGGAGGCTTAAGAGCGTTGAATTTGAATCGAGTATCCGTCTTGTTTACAGTGGTGTGGGTTTCATGGAAACGTGACATCTGGCTATGATAGTATATTGCACAGAGAATTCAGCGAATTGATGACGTGGCTTGGATTCAAGGGTTTGAGACATTTGGGGTTGGGTATCGAGTTCTATTCGTAGTAATTAGGTATTTTTCGCTGTATTCGCATATTAGAAACGTTTCGATGTTTTGATAATTGGCGTGTAGATTTTCTTCAAGTATCAGTTTTCATTTAGGAAACTTGGTACACGATTCCCGGGGGTGCCACTCGGTTCCTCGGGAACACGCGGACGGAATGCGAGAGCGTGTACCTAGAATATCACGAACCGGAGTTCCCACCGATGCTTGGGGACGTTCGTAAATTCGTCCCCAGTAGTTGGAAGTTTCAAAGTCGAAAGAGTTTCGGTTCAACCCCTTCTGCCATCACCTTCCACCCTCTCTACTGGCGCGGTGTCCGACCGACTTAGCTCGTTTCGCCGAGTTTCCGAGGTTCCGGCGCAACAGGAACCACCTTACCGCGTTACGTTTTTCCCCATGATCTCGTGTTTCCGCGGTCGGCGCGGTGGTGTTGCCGGTTTCAAACATTGCGCGATGTACTGGATGATCCGCGTGTAGGAGTAAGCGTGGGCGCGGATTTGCCAGACGGAAGTAATGGAATGTGTACACACGAGGGTGTTTCTCGCGTGATTCTTTTGAGTCGAAGTATAGGGTTTATTTCAATTGCAAGTCAATGGTTCGCATCGGTTTTGTCTGTAATATCTTTGTCGAATCATATGTAGATTTAAACGTAATGTTTCTCGGATATCGTGAATGGATTATTCAACTGATATAACGAAACACAATTTTGAGATAAGATTCTCAAGGGTGAAAGGATTGCATCTTGTCAACGACACGAGGAAGTTCAATTTTGATAACTTCGTTAACGATGCAAAAGTGGAACTTCCGTATTTTATTTTAACGAAAAATCAATGAAAGAGAGTTATTTTCTAACATATTTAAATCATACAACTGTATCGAATACCTTCACTTAAAGTTCCTTACTCGATCTTCCAATTCGTTCAGATTCAAACTGAAGAATGAGAACAGTAACTCCTAGGACGTTGCTCGCCCAGATAGTGGTCGCCCTAAGGCCGTAGTCCAACGACCACTAAGCGGGGCACTGTATACGTATAATAGACTTCGCGCAGGACTCATTGACCGCGAATATTTTTTCACGTCTTATAATTCAAGGGGAATTCGCGGTTAGCCGACCGGTGACGTTGTCCCCGTGAAACTGGCAAGGGCCGACTCGTCGATCGAAATACTCGCTTGGGGAAAAGGGGCGTGAGTCCCGGCGCCGCTCTCTCGCCGCTTGAATTCCCGAAATTTCGTTGACCCAGATTTTTCCTTCTTTTCGTACGGTTGTCTGAATGAACCTCGCTGGTTCGCGTTCGAGCTGCAGGGGATGCGAGGAGAGCCAGGTGAAAATCGATGCAACTGACGGAGAGAAAGAGGGAGAGAGAGAAAGAGAGATGGAGAGAGAGGGCAGAGCGAAAGAAGGAGAGAGAAAGAGACCTGTGCGTGGGTACCGCGGGAGACCGCGCCTGGAAAATCAATTTTCAGGGTTTTCCAGGACGAAGACCCGTTCACGGAGACCTAGGGAACAGACGAGCGCTCTGCGAGCTTCTCTTTTCTATCGCGTACCCGGTGGTCGGGCAAGGCGCAACTGCCACAATTTGCGAGCGAGCACGTATTAACGCTAGTAGACGCGTTTAACGACATTCTCCTAAGAATTCTAGCCACGGAACTTTTTCTACAGTCTCGTTAAAATGCTCGCGGCTCGAGCCGAGTTGATCCGGCGAGCTGGCGTGCTAGACCGTAGTTGTCGTTTCCCTCGCAAATTTACCCCCGTACCCGGTCATCCTGTTACCGATTCTTCGATCGAGGATGAGGACAAATTCCCATGGTTTCGTCGATTTCGTTGTTCTTTCAGTCCCTTTTGTTCGGATAAATGAGAGACAACGCGAAGAATGAGCCTAGAACAGCTACCAAGATCCTAGCAAAGGATATCCGAAGCGTCCA